AGATGCGACCGGATGGGGCATCACCCTGAAGCTTGGGGGGCATTTGGGGTACTGCGGGGGTGCGGAGGGGCTGGGAAGGCCCCCCCCCCAGAGGAATGCTCCTGCATCCTGCTTCTCCTTCCCGTGGGTTTATTTTGGTTTTTCTGGGTTTTTTTGGTCGTGGGTTTCTTGGAAAGGGTTCACACGTGGCTCGCTCCAGCCCGTGGCCACCATGCGTGGGTCTCGGTGCGCGCCGTGCACCTCCTCTGCATGTCCTGGGTGGAAAAAGCGACTCGCTGCCTGCGGCACCTGAGGGTTTGCCGGGGCCCTCGCCGGCTTTTGCTGCGGGGGCGAGGAGCAGATCCCCGTGCCCACAGCTCTGGGATGGGCTCCCACTGTGTCACAGCCCTGCGTCACCTCTGCCGGGGGATCCTCCACCGGCCCCAGGGTGCGGGGGGTCTGTCCCTGAGCCCCAAGGACCCTTAGGAGTGTTGGGTTGGTCCTTCCCGCTGATGTGGCCGGCTCCCGCGGGAAGCAGCGGATGCTTCGTCCCTGGAGATGCTTAAATTTAGCTTGGCTGGAGCCTGAGAAAACACTGTTGGGAGTGTGGATGTGCACGCTGGAGCTGAGCCGGCAAAACTCCCTGCTCCGGCAGCTTCTGGGGAAGGGGAGTCGCTGTCCCCAGCAGGTTGAGGGCTTCTCAGAGGGACCTCAGTGGCAGGAAGGCTACCCTGGGGTGCTGGGGGCTGGTGATGGAGCGGGGAGGCTGGGAACACCCCGGCGCATCTCCAGGAGCGTGGTTTCCCGGGCAGGGGAAGCTGTGGAGAGGAGACAGTCGGCTCCGGTTGCGTTTCACTCTGCGCCGGCCCCGAGGAGTCGGCGGGGATTGCGCGGCTGTTTGCCAAGATCAGGGTTTGGCCAGATTTCAGCTCCCGGAGAGGCGGGTGGTGCCAACCCCGGCGATGGGGCTCTGCAGTGCCGTGGGTTGCTGTGCCAGCAGCCACGGGGTCCAGCAGCCGGTACCATCCTTCCCGGTGGAGATACGGCATGAATGAGTGAGGGGAGAGGAGCGCGGAGTCAAGGGAGCTGGAGACACAGAGAGGCTCTTTCAGGTGACAGGGACTGCTGACAGGAAGGCTCGTGCGTCACCCTGCACTTGGCGTCGGCAGGACTGGGAGAAGAGGGGAGCAAAATCCATCAGAGCTTTAAAAAAGGGAGTGTCTGGGTCAGAAAGCCCCTGCTGGCATCCCAGGTCTGGTGAGGCAACGGTGACCTGACATCCACGGAGCTGAGGCTGTTGCCAGGAAGGTGATAGGGATAGGGTCTTGCCGATCCCGAGGGAGTGATGTGTGGCTCTCCCCGCTGAGCTGAGAGCAGCCCCGTCCCTGGCAGGCAGGCAGGGCTCCTGAGCGGGGACATCTCTCCAGAGGTTTTGTCCCCTCTCTCGCTGGGGTGGCAGGCAGGAGCCGCGACCTGCGCATCGCCGGTGAGTTTGGGAGTGGGCTGGAACCTCCTGCACCGTGTTTGCTCAGTAAACAGCTGGTTAATGTGCAGCAAAGCCGGGGGGAGAGGCAGCGGGACTGTCCCCTCCACTAATCCCTGCCCTGGGACGCTTCCTCCGGGAGTTCGTTCCCTGCAAGTGGGACTGGCAGCCCTGGAGAGGCGCAGAGCAGCACGGCCTGGGGCAGGAACTGGTCCCAAGCTGGGGGATTCTGGCTTCGTGGGTCCCCTCCGCCATGGCCCACGGAGCTGCAGGCAGCTTGTGCCCTGCGTAGGCAGCTCCGTTTTGTGGCTCCTCACCAAGGGAGAGGCTTCCGCCCCCCCGTCAGCACGGCTGGGGGGCTGCTGCCCAGCTCTGGGGTGCCCTGCTCCCGCCGCGGGGATCTAGCAGCCCCTCAAGCTTTGCTTTGTGTTTCCTGGGTTTTTTTCTGGCTGCTTGTGAGCTGCTGCCTGATTTCGGCCTCATCTGGCTCTGCCGGCTCCCACAGGGACCCTGGCTCGGAATACAGAGCAGGATCCCAAGACCTTAAGCCCCAGCGCAACTCCTCGCACTAATCCTGCAGTGCCAGCGCAGCCAGCTGTTGACTAAATCTCCCAGTTTTTTGGTTGTTTTTCTTTTTTCTTTTTTTTTTTTTTTTTTTTTTTTCTTTTCCCTGGATCTGGATTTCGCTGGTCTTAAGCTTGGGAATTTGCTGTCGCAGGTTTCCCGGCTGCAGCCCGTTTCCGAGCTGCTTTTTGTGCTTCAGCTCCTCTTTCCCCAGGGTTTGTCCAGGACGGATGAGTGCTGGTGCTGACCCGTGCCTGGGGCTGCTCAGGGACCCCCCGGGTCCAAAGGGAAGGTGGATTTGTGTGCGCTTGGCCTTGGCTCTGTGGATCGGGATGGGAGAAGCCCTCCTTTCCATGGTGGGATGCTGGAGGGGGGGGAATGGGACATCCTCTTGTGCTGGAGGGGATGATGGGGGCCGTACCCTTGCCCGGGATGCGGGCAGCGGAGCGCCTTCCTGCTGCTGTTGGGATGAGGAAGTCTACGCCGCTCATGGCGGGTCCAAGCCCCTGCCTGGCAGGCTCCTGCCGGCAGGGCCAGGGCAGGAGGGGGCTTTTGGGGCCGCGGCTCGGTGCTGGTGTTGCCCCGGGACCCTGGCTCTCCTCTGCTGTGGGGTTTTCCTCCGCCAGTGAGCGTGGGGGGTGGGTGCCCAGACCCAGTTATCTCCCGTCTGCGGTTTTGCTGTGGCTCCTTCCCTCAGCCTTGAGCAGCGCTGGGAGCCAGCGGGCTGCTGTGCTGTGCTGAGCAGGCAGCCATTCCCGCTCGCCCTGCCGGAGCCTCGGCCCCAGGCTGGGATCTCCCCCTGTGTTTGGGCTGCGGCACTGGTGTTGCTGACAGCCCCAGGACTGTCTTTGGTGTGGATGAGGTGCTTGCTGGAAAATCCAGCACCTCCGGATCGAAGGGGACAGGCTGACCCACCCACTGCTGCTGTCCAGGGACTCCAGAGCCCTCTTGGGTGGGCACGGGGGGCTTTGGGTGGTCAGTGGGGGGGAGCAGGGTTGGGCTCAGCCTCTGCTCCAGGGATGTGGGTGCTGCAGCCTGCGGGAGAGACTGTGGCTTTCCCCACTCCCGGCTGCTAAACCCAGCGGGGCCTCAGCATCCTTCCTGCACCGCAGCACCCACGGAGGGAGGAAAGTCCCTTGCAGGGCCTCCTCCGCACTTGGTAGCTTCGAAGGGGAGAGGTGCCAGGCACCTCAAGCCCTCCTGGCCCACTGCTGCACAGTTCCTGAGGCCGACCGGGTCAGACATGTCTCATCAGGGGACTACCTCTTCCCATGGGACATCCCGGGGGCTTGATACTGTGTGTGGGGCAAGCTTGGGGCTCAGCTGCAGGAGGCAGAGCGTGGGGATCACCTGCTGGGATGGGGATGTCTCGGGTATAATGGGGCAGTTTGGAGGAGCCCCAGCACCCCAGGGTGCCTGCTGGCCCCCCCTGACCTGCCTCCCCTCCCCTGGCCCAGCTGCAGGCACAGAAGCTGAGGCTGGCACACAGCCGGGGACCCTACTACAGCGGCTCCCTGCCCAACGTCAACCAGATTGGCAGCGGCGTCTCTGACTTCCAGGTGAGCAGTGCCTGCTCCACCAGCCGGGGGCTGCCCTGGGAGGGGGTTTGTGGGGGCTGCCCCCCATGGCACAGCGGCTGCCGCCCTCTGTGCCTTGGGGAGGGAGATCAGGAGCCACGTCAGGACTTGGGGTGGGCATTGGGGAGGAGGATGAAGAGCTGTGGGGTGGGCTGCTGTTGGGGACAGACGGGGAGGAGGGGATGTTCTCTAATCGCCTTGCCTGGCCCCAGCTCCAGCCCCTTGGCAGTGTTGCCAGTGATGGGGCGACCTGAGACCCCTTCCCTTGCCGACGGACGGTGGGTTCACCCCCGTGTCTCCTCCCTGCAGGGCCCTTTGCAGTCGCCGCTGGACTCCACGCGCAGCACTCGGCACCACGGCCTGGTGGAGCGAGTGCAGCGGGACCCGCGCCGGATGATGTCCCCCCTTCGCCGATACGTCCGACAGATATCCTTTATCCCGTTCCCTCCTGCCCCATCGGCAGGGGCAGGCAGCCTTTTCTCCCGCCGCTGGGGCTCCTGCCCCGATCCCAGTGCCCCTGCTCCTCGTTGGGATTAACGAGCATTAGCAACACATGCTGCCCTCGCCCATCTGCGGGGTTGCGTTAGGTGCCTGCACGCCAGCTGCTCAGCCCCTTGCTCTCTGGCCCTTAACGTGCCTCTCACATCGACAGCTCTCCCTATGTACCGACCTACCTGTCGCCTCCACCCGAGCCCAGCTGGAGGAGGTAAAGACCCCACATTTTCTTGGCTCCCGGCACTTGTTTTCCAGGTGCCGGTTTCCAGCCTGCTGCCTCCCCGTGTCTGCAGGGTCGCTAGCGCCCGGGGCTTGCTCTGTGTTAAAGAGCACCCGGAGGTTTGGAAACAGGCAGACTGGCAGGAGTCCAGCGCGGGAGAGTCCCTCGCAACAGGCAGCCCTCCCGGGAGGGTTTAAGCAGCTTCTCTTACCGGTCTGTGAGGGAGAAACCGGACCTGGGTGGAGGCAGAGAGAAATGCTGAGATGCCGGGAGTGGGGCTGGGAGGTTTCCCACCTCTCTGATTTTGGGTGCTGCCCGCACTGTCCTGCAGCAGGGGGGATTTTTAAGGAGGAACAATTTCATCATGCCCAAAAAAGCCAGCTCTGGCATGTGGGGCGGCATCTACCTGCCGTGGTGGTGGGAAGAGGGATCCTGCTCGAGGTGAATCACTGGGCAGCTGAACCCCTGCACGCTCTGGCTCTTGGCCCCGGGGGCAGGCGAGGACGGGGCTGGCTGGCCAAGCCCGAGCGTGCCCCGAGCATTGGCTCCATGCCATGGAGGTCCTGGCGAGCTGTGGCTCCGCACAGGAGCTGTTTGGGCTCAGCTCAGCATGGCTCAGCCCTTTTAGAGGTCGCTCAGGGCTCCTGGGCTTTATTTTCAAGGCTGCCTTTCCTCCCAAGTGCTGTGCTCAGCACAGCTCTCCTTCCCTGTCCTGAGGACCGTTCCCCAGGGAGACTCGCTGCCCATGTTCCTGCCATCTCCATGCCTCGGTGACAGCAGATCTCAGCTGAGGGGCTGTGTGTGCCCCTTCTCCCCAGCCCGGTGGGGACACCAGCGACGGCAGGGGCTGTGTGGCAGCCCCGGGTTGTGCCGCGCGCCGCCGGGGCTCTGCTGGAGGTTCATGTTGTGTCTTGCACTTTGTCCCCTGCAATGAACCTCGGCGCCGGTCAGTCCAGAGTGCGAGGGCCGCGGCCTCATCCCTCAGCACATCTTCCCCCATCCTGCCATGTCCAAGCCCAGCCGTCGGGTGCCCTCTCTGCCGTCCTCCCTGACCTTCTGGGGGCAAAGCCTTGGCTTTTTTCCCCAAAAGAAGAGGTTGTGTCAAAACATCCTTGCAGCGAGCGCAGCTGCCTTCCCCGCAGGACCTCAGGCTTGGGGGAGCCGTCCCCAGGAGCCTTTTGCTGTGAATCCTGCTGCAAATTCTTCATCCCAGGCGTGGGGGATGACGACTTTCATCTGTCTTCCAAACGGGTGCCTTCACGGGAACCTTAAGATCAAAACAATCTTGGCTGCGGTCTGCATGGGCTGGGCCAGTGGCCTTGTTTTTGGGTCCCCAAGGCTGAGCTGCCCATCGCCGCAGTGTCTGGGCTGCAAGCACAGGGCTAAGGCAGGGAATAGGGTGAGGATGTCACAGATCAGCCCCGACCCGGTGCTGAGGGGTGTCCCCTGGGGTCGGCGGAGATACCCCAGCTTGTCCGCCTGAGGCAGCCTGCAGGCAGCGAGCTGTCTGCCTCCTGCTGCCCTCCGCCTCCCCACTGCTACCCCCCATCCTGTGGGGCAGTGCCACCCTGTTTCCCCCCTCCCTTGCCCCCCAAGTAACCCTGCTGTTTCTCCTCACAAAGGACCATGCCCTGGGGTAACTTTCCTATGGAGAAAGGACATTTGTTTAGGCTGCCGTCGGCTCTCAACAGGTGAATGATTTTTGATTCCGTTTT